AATTTATGTTTTCTTTGTTTGGGTTTTGTTTGATGATATGAGAAATTGGTTGATGAAGAAGGCAAGGCAGTTGTTGGGTTTTTGCAGGTGGATGAAGATGAAGAAGGCATAGCTGCTGGGTTCGAAATCGAACCCAGCAAGCAATCGAACCTAGCATCAAACCCAGCAGCCGCTGGGTTCCTGCAGTGCTGGGTTCGATTTCGAACCCAGCAGGCACTGTGTTCAAGCTGGGTTCCTGCAGGTGCTGGGTTTGATTTTGAACCCAGCAGGCACTGGGTTCCGTTTCTAACCCATGGATCTGTTGAGTTCCATTTGTTTCAAACTCAGCAGTCGTTAGGTCGATATCTGTTGAGTTTGATCTATTTATGGATTTGTTATCTATTTATGTTATTCTCATATTTTTGCAGGTGCTGGATTCGATTTCAAACCTAGCAAGCGTTGGGTTTTGTTTCCAACCCAACTGCAGTTGGATCGAAAGATCTATTGATTTCTATCTGTTGGTTTGTTATGTTATTCTCGGATTTAATATTAGGAAATGTTAGGGTTTGCAGAAGGTGAAAGGAAAGGGAGAGGAAGAAGAAAGGGAAAAAGAAAAACAAAGAAAGAAAAAAAAAAGAAAATTTTTAAAGTAATTTCTTGCAATCTCATTTTTTTTGCCACGCTGTACATCTTAGGTGTCAATGTTTTAACATGTCATCCTTTTCCCCGTCAAGTAACAAGACACGTAAGTGGATATTTAACGGAAGGACCAAATCGGGGTAATGGTAAACAGTAGGGACCAAATCAGGTATTTTTTTAGTTCATGGACCAAATTGGGGGTCCGTACAATAATTCAGGGACCAAAAAGGGGTTTTAACCTTTATAAAATTGACATGCTGTATCACCAATTAAGAAAACTGGATTTGGGGAGTGCTTAAACCAATTCAAGCACAACCATAGAATAATTTCAGTTGACTTAAAAATTATAAAACACCAAAACTAAAGAGATTATGAATACTAATAATGGATTTAACCAAGACAACTGTAAAGACTGCAGAAACAAGCATAGCCAATATACCTCCAAAAGTTCAGAACCCCATGGAGGACTTGTTTGAAGAGTGTGTCTATCGTATTCAAGAAAAAAATCCCATATGCGCTCATTAATTGGGTAAAAAGATGAGCAAAGCCTTAATCGCAATTTAAAAATAGTTTTTCCATCTTCCAAATAATCCAGCCTCTCCTACAATTAAAAGATATGGATTAATAAATAATCATCTGACACAGTAAAATGTAACCATCTATGTGATAATGAAGCTAGGCTAGTTTTATTTATAACAAACCATTGAAAAATTGGAATCTTAAACACAATGAAAAAGAATTAGTTACATAATAGGGTGTGAATATCATTTTATAATTTACAATGTAGAAAGGTTCAAATAAATTAATTTTTTCTTGTGACCAGAGGTTAACACATGTCAAAATAAAAATACCTTTCCATTTTCTTGAGGATATTGTGGAACCAGTTCTTTCATAATCGGTAGAGAAATTTCTGATTGAACCCTGAGCACAGAACGTAGTTCAACAGGGTGAAATCATTGAATGATGTAACGAGGAAAAAAATGATGCAGATAACAAAAGCATGAAAAAAAGTCATGTCTAAATTACTAGAAAATATACTGGTATGGCATTTAGTTGGCATCAAAGAAGGCTAGGACCTAATACAGACTAGAAAAATGCTATAATATCTGGTTTCTCAGTTTCTTTATAACAAAAAGCTGCTGGTATTTTATTTTTATTTTATTAAATTTTAGGGGATGGGGAATAAAAGCCATTATCTGGTACAGATAATTATTAGTCTCATTACCAAATCTTAATTGCAACTGCTTTAGAAAAAAAGGCTAAAGGATAAATAAATTTGTTCCCAATTCAACCCTTCTCTATACCCTACTCAAGTGTGACCTGTACCAAAATATTAAATTTCTTGAGGTATAAGCTATAAACAATCATATATGAATTTTATGATTCAATAACTTCATACACTAAGCTTAGGTAATGAGAGTTCTTGATGTTAAATACCACCTCTGTTGTTTTTAGTAAGATTTTGTCAAACTTATCTGAATAAATTAGGTAGCATTTCACTGTAAGGTGAATGAAGACTCACATTGATATCATCCAAGTACCCACAACAGAAACCAGGAAAGTAACCTGACAATTGAAATTATAACATTAACTTAACAAACCACTAGAATACCGAATAGGTGATTATATTTCTGGCCCCTGTTTATTTCCAATACCATGAACTACCATACCAATCACTCCAGTAGCAGAACAAATAATGTAAGTTAATAAATCATCAAGGAAAGAAACAAAACAAAAGATGACAAACATAAAGACAGTTGCATACCGTGCATGGGTGGATAATGGAAGTGCTGCATAACCTATTACTACCTGCCAAGTAAAAGAACAGAACTACTTAGGATTGCAATAAAAGATAGAATGAGAGGAGTGTGAAACAGGCCAAACCACTAACCAACGAGTATACAACCACTAAGACAAGGTTCAGATGATTTTGTATTATTTCAAATGGAAGGAAAAGAAAAAAGGATCTCATTGACCTCACCGGTTTTGGAGCTTCTAATTTCATTTGAAGATCAACATGGAAGAAAGTGAATATAAGGTGATGCAATGGTGTCCAAACAGCAGGGAGAGAAACTTTAATTTCATCATGGTAGCAGGCCACCCAAGCACCAACAGCAACTTGCGTGTGAGCCCACTTCTGAAGTGATAAACCAGGTTCCCTTGGATACATTGCCTTGTCATATCAGTAACACAGAAAGAACAATAAGACAAGTTTAAAAATCATAGTGCAAAGTATCACTCAACAATTTTACCTCTAAAGGTTGTCTACGAACATCTGCATCATCCTTTCTTAGCTCAACTCTTACGAATAGATTCCTTTTCCAACTCAAGCTCACAGTTAAAGGATATACATATAGAGTGGAAAAGCTGCAAGG